ACAAATGTGAATTTGGGTGAGCTGTTATACCCTTATGTTGTGTTCGGGGTCTCTGAGACCCCAGTTATAAACATGATGAAATGTCCTACTGACAGCCCTCAAAGTGACTGAATAATCCTTTTACGCATCAGGTGGGATCGTGAAGCGCCAGTTTTTTCAAAGCAAAATAACTGAAATAATAAGAGCACAAGTATAGATCTGGAACTTCTTTAAGGGAAGCGCATTTCTTTGTTTTTTTTTTTATTTGCATGTGTTTTTTCATTCGCAGTGCGTTGAGCTCTCTCGGCCACCGTAGTATTACGACACATGGCAATCTAAAAATGGGAAGAGTATTTAAAATACTTTCTGTCAAGTGAAGACGTTCCTATCACAGCAGACACCCATCAGAGCCACATGACAGATACAAACAAATGTGGATTACTGGGAGCTCTGTTGTTATTGATACTATCTCTCATGGCTTCCGGGGCGCCGCACCGGATGTAAATAAGCACCCTGAGGAAAAACACGGAAGTGACGTGGAGGAGGCAATGCCTCCATCGCGATATGATTGGATATGAGTGGTTATGATCGGCTGTGATTGGTTCGTGCGATAAATCCGCCTCTTGTGAACACGCGCGTTCGCGAATCAGTCTGAATGAAGAATATAGCCTAATTAATGGGAAGACTCATTTAGAAAAGTAAGTAAACAACTCACACACTTAGATATAACCACTGTTACGTCAAAATAAGACTTAAAATGGCATGAAAACATGATCTGTGGGAGTTTTTAGTGAGTACTCAGCTTGTTGAAATTTAAAGTAAATGTGTCTGTGACCAATATTTACCGAGATTTGATGACTGCTGGTGATCCGAAAAATTTAAAAAGTTAAAAGTTAACTATTAGAAAGAATAGCTGAACATAAGTTCACAAAGCATATTGTTTAAATAGTTACTGCCTCGAGTTATTAATATTAATTAATAGTTACTGCCTCCGCTTCGCGTATGGGGTCCTGATCACCCTGTCGGGGTTTATTCTGAGATAACAACCGGCTGGATGTACATTATCCCTTACATATATATATATATTAACATGATTACTTAATCCAGATTACATGTAATGGGTTACTACCCAGCACTGTATGTATGTGTGTGTATCACAACAACATAAAACTATATATAGTCATTCATTCATAAATAATTTTGTGTACTTTATATTGGTCAGACTACTCTGTATGTGTAAATAATACACAAACACAATATTAAAATGTATTATCAACGACTTTTTTCATTATGTATAATTTACACAAAATATACAAGACACAAGGGAAAGAACTTCATATCTATCTTTATTCATATAGCAGCACATCTTACAGAAATACAACTGCAGGAGTATACAAATGTACTGATGAAAGCAAAATACGTTTATTCACGTCAAATGTCATTAGTTTATGTTTCTTCACCATACTGAATGTCATTCTTACACACTCATGAGTGACCAGTTATCCCTACAACAGTGGTTCTCAACCAGGGGCCACAGCAAACTTACAAAGGGGCAGATTTATTTAATAAAAGAAGTTATAATAAATGTAAATACTTAAAATAGACACATGCAATGTGCCAATTCACATCCCTTACTCTGCTGGAAATGCACCACTTGAACTCCCAACCACAATGTAGAAATTTGGTCCTGCGTGTACCGAGCTTTTCTCTCATCATCATCCTGTCCTATAATGACTGAAACCTTACGTCCACTTCTTGTTTTTATTGCCATCTTATGATACATCGCTTGTTGTATTCCTCAACTGTAAGGTGCTTTGGATAAAAGCGTCTGCCAAATAAATAAATGTAAATGTACTGTGCTGTTGCGACCTTGCCAAACAAAAATTACCAATTTTAAATGTATCCCATTTATAATTTATACATACAATTCTTAAATTCTGAAATCGCTAAATTAAACTATGGTTGAGAACCACTCTCCTGTGACAACTTTAAAAGCATTGGATGTTAATCACATCAAACAAAAACAAACTAAATTAAAAAATGTGTAAAAAGAGTGCAGTTAAAATACACCTTTCACATAAAATATAAGCACAAATAACTGCTGGTGATTGGGTTAAGTGCTCTTAAAACCTTTTTTAATTCTACATTTACTAACAAAAATTCTTCGAACACCTGCTGGCCAAACAAACAGAAAAAAAAAAAAGTTATAAAAAATTTGTTATCACCGAGATCAATAACCTTCTTTAACCTTACACCTTGATCTTACCAATTTCAAGAGGCAATAACCACCAGTGGATGAGAATGACGACATTTCAAAACA